GAACAGTGCCCAGAATGTAGCAGACCTTCAATGAACAGCAGTGATATCTACTATTTGTTTATTTATTTAATTTAGTTACTTATTTTGCAGCACTAGGGCTTTAAGCCAGGGACATTCTACCACTCATTTATATTCCAAACTCTTTTTTTTTTTTTTTTTTTGTACAGGGGGTTGAACTCAGGACCTTGCACTTGCCTGATAGGCTCAGTGTCACTGAGCTAAATCCCCAGCCCCCAAACTCTTTTCTAATTTTTATTGTGAAATAGAGTCTCCTAAGTTGCCCAGGCTGGGCTTGAACTTGCCATCCTCCTGCCTCAGCCTCCCAAATAGCTGGGATTACAGGTGTCCGCCTCTCTCCTAGTGGCAATTTTTATTACTCATGTCATATGCCAGACCCTTGCGTCAGTGTGGCTTCCCAGCTGCTCTTCCTGGGACATCTGCTCGTCAGCGCTCCAGCTCTCTCTGTAGCCATGCAAGGCTCAGCCAGTGCTGTATTCACCTGAGGCCTTCAAGGATCTGTGAACCTGAAGGCTGCCTGTCCCTGGAGCCTCACGGCCTAAGCAGAAGTGACCCCTGCTGCCCCTTCTGCACCTTGCCCACCCGGACCCCCTCACAGCTCCAGCAGCAGGCTGGGCTGTGATGGCTCCTTGTGCATGGTTCCCATCTTGTTAAACCAACTATAAACTTTTTATTCCCCTGCTTTGTCCCAGAGCACCTGACCAGAAAGAGCTGGCCCTTGGTCTTGGTGTTTGCAGAGTGACTGAGTTTATTGTTCTCTGTCGTCCTTCCCATAGCTAGCATTGTACCTCACAGGGTTTCAAAGGTTGCCCTATGTGCAGCGCTCACCTCCACCACATTCTTCCTGGTCTCATAGGTGTTGAGCAATTCTTCCTCTTCCCATCTGGGCTGAGGAACTCTGACCCCTCTGGGTCAGTCACTCTGTCCCCCTGCGCCAAATCATCTGAGAAGCTTGCCTCCCCCCTTACTATGAATGCTTTGGAACTTGGGATCTGTAAAGTGGGAAGCACACACCTGTAATCGCAGCACTCTGGGAGGCTGAGGCAGGAGGATTGAAAGTTTGAGCTCAGCCAGGGCAACTTAGCAGCTCAGCAAATTTTTTAAATAAAAAAAGTCTAAAAAGGGCTGGGGATGTAAGTCAATATGAAAGCCTGGCATTTAGTCCACAGTATGAGTGGGGGAAAACAGGATACAGGTTTCCACCGTCATGTTGATCCCTGGTGTTTTTCTGGTCCTTGAGCCCCTGCAGCACCATGTGGAAAATGGTGACTTCTAGACAGTGCCCCTCTCCGCCGATGGAGCCCCTCAGAGTCCCACAGCCCACCCACAAGTGGAGCCTCCATTCCCGTGGGGGATGCTGGGTCCCTAGGTCTCCATTCCACACCTCTCTGATGCCCGTCTGCTCTGGCAGGGGCATTGCCAGCCCTGCTAAACCCATTGAGGTTTCTCTGGGGTACGGAAGCCTCAGTGTGGCTCCACTGTCCCTGTCACCCACAAGTGCTCTCATACCAACTTCCGCTCTGCTGGGCACACATCCCTGACATCAGGACCTACGGCCACAGCCCATCTTCTCCCTGCTGTCTGCCAGTCCCAAACCTCACCAGGCTCCCGGGGAGCTGGAGTCCCAGGAGGAGGGGAGAGAGCAGAAAGAAAACTAGAGATGCCACCAGCAGTCCCTGACCTCATGTCTAAACAGCTCCCTCCAGACCCAGATCACAGGCCTGTCGGGTTGGGGTGCTGGTGGGGGCAGGGGGACATCCTCCGGAGCAGGGAGGAGCTGAAAGCACAAACCTGTTGTCAAATGAGTGTAGTCCTGTTAATCGTTTCCTGTGTGGCCCCTGGTGAATCACTCATCCTCCCCCCCTGGGTCTCAAGGCCCTGTCCATCCTGACTTCTTACACAACCCTCCTTGTGAGAATGGGAGCCAGCAGCTGTGAAGTGGATTTGGAAACTACAGCCCTCCGCGGGGAGGGGTGGGGCCTCAGAGTCCCCTGAGTGGCCCTCCTCACCTGGCCTCACCCCCTCCTGCCTGCTCCTGGATAGATGTTCCCCGCCTTTCTTGCACCCCATGGAGTCGTGGGTGTTATCCCCACAGGGTTTAAGAGCCTGAAGGATAGGATTTGGCTGATTGGTCTGGGTCTCTCGGGTGTGGCTGGGCACCCAGAGGCAACCCAACCTCGGGGCTACTGGGTCCATCATTGTCAAAGTTATTGCCACCTCCCCTCTCATCAGATAACCTACCCAGAGAGGGGTCCCCAGAGCTGCTGGCCAGGCCTGAGCAGTAGGGACAGGAGGAGCCCTCCTGGGGTGAACCCCTGCCCATAGCTCCCTTCTCTTGGCATTACCTTAAAGGGATGTGTCTGTTGTTGATGCCCTTGTAGGTTGTCCCTAAATCCACGCAGACCACCCCCCAACGGTTCCCCAACATGCCTGGGTCTGGGAGGAGGAGGAGGAGGGCTGTCCTGGGTGGGTGGCCAAAGTGGCTTTTGAGGTCCGAGCTCCAGTCTGGGGTTGTGGGATACTGCTGGCTGCCCCCGAAGACCCCAGCTCCTTCCGACCGGGATGCCCCCACCCACCAACTCCGGTTCTCATTTTCCCACCCCGGGGTCTCCATTCCTGGTTTCCCCATTTCCTGAGCTCCTCCCCCTTGGGGTCTCTTCCCAGCCTCCGGAGAATCAGAGAGCATGAATGAGATCAGCATATCATCCATCTGTCACTTCCCAGACTTGGTTGGAACGGGCTCAGCAAGGGCCATCCCACAGCCCGCATCTCCCCACCCAGGCCCTTAGCCACCTCTAACTGGGGGGCTTTCCTGGGTGCACCTGCGGCTCCCCACAGTGAAGAGCAGAAGCTACCAGATGATTCCCCTATGCGAGAGCCCCTGAAAACAAGGGCAATGGGAAACACAGTGCACACAGAAAGAGCCCTCACTCCTCCCCCCAGAGAGCCCAGGGGAGTAGGAGAGACAGTCCAGCCACTCCTGTCAGGGGTTTTGCTGGGGACATCAGCAATACAACTGCAGGTGCATTCTTTGCTCCTGCAAGGCCTCCATAGTGAACCCTTTAGCCTCAAAGGCAAGCTGACATAAAGAATGAGAAACTAGAGACATTAATAGTTAAATGGATGCACATTGAGGCTATGCTCTTAAGTGAAATAAACAGGGCACACTTGAGTAAATACCAAGTAGTATCTTTGGTGCGGAAAAACTAATTTTTTTTTTTTTAGTACCGGGACCAAACTTGGGACCTTGAGCTTGCGAGGCAGGTACAGCCCTACTGAGCTAAAACCCCAGCCGAACTAAAAGTGTAAATAAGGTTCAAATGGTATAATTGATAGTGTGGAATAGAAAGGAAAAGGGCTAAAGGGGAAGTAGGAAGGGGAGGGAAAAAGAAATGTGGGAAAGAAAAAATAGGAAAAAAGGAAAAAGTGGAAACAAAGTCTTTGTAAATAGGGAAGGGTGAAGAGGTGAAGGGAGGGCAGGAGTATGGGGAAAAAATAAGAACCAAGATATATCATGTAAAGAAACAAGATCCCAATGATAATTATAACTGTATTCTTTGCCTTAAATGTACTAATAAACTCAATGGGAAAAAAAATTTTTTTGACAAAAAAAAAAAAAGTCAGGCTGAGCTCACATCACAGTTCTCCAGCCCTTTGGCAGCTCCCCTCCCTTGCCAAGGAAAGGAGGGAGGCCAGCCACTTGCAGCCACTTGCAGCCTTGCCTAGCCCGGGCGCACTCAGCAGTGCCCTGAAGTGGGGTCAGCCTGGGTCTCACTCACCCTCCGGTGCTGGTGATGCCGTTGATCTCGTGGCTGGGGTGGATGTCCAGAGCTGGAGGGCCAGCGACAGAATCCAGATCACCAGCATCTCCCAGGGCACAGACCCCTGGTGACACTACCTTCCCTCTCTGAGGGACTGGGAAACAAGAGGCTCCCAGGGAGGGAGCCCCTATATAAAGGGCCCTAGAGACCTTTGCCTTGGGAAGGACAGTGCCTGGCGAGGGGTGGGAAACTGAGGTGATGACACTGGGTGGGTAGCACCAGTGATCACGGGGACTTGGCTAAAGGGCAGCCTGTCACCCTCTAATTCTAATTCATGCTGTGATGACTGCTCCAGCCACAGTCATTTAAGGAAGCCAAGTCACTGGGTGGAGCAAGACACAGGGAGGAAGAGGAGGCAGAGGTGTGAGAGCCTGAGAGGGGGGAGGACACCAGGGACGGTTTTTGTCAGCACCCCAGGAGGGACAGCTGGCAGCAGGATCGCCTGGAGGAAGAACTACCCTCCCCTATCCTGAGAAGCCCCTCCATCCAGCTTCCCTCCCATCACCCACCTCAAGCTGGACCCTTCCAAATTTTCAGTACTTTCCTGTCTCCGGGTGGAACACCTGTTCACATCTGAGAGTTTATGGCCTGATCTCCGCCCTGGCCAGAGTCAGAGGTGAGGGAAGCCATGGCCAGTTCTGCCCAGGGCAAAGGTCTGAGGGGCCTCTCCCAAAACCCGAAACACAGAAAGCCATGAGCGCAGGTTGTCTCTGACCATCCCAGCTCTGGTCGTGCAGAACTGACTGCCCACAGAAGTGGGAGGGGAGGACCCGAGGCTGGCTTGGACCAGCCCTGGGGTGATTGTGTGCTTGACGGAAGGGGCTCAAGTTCTTTGGGGAGCTGCGCTTCACGCTTCAGGCCTTCCTCCTCCTTGGGGTGGCACCTGGCAGCAGCATTCGCTGTGTTTTTTGGTTTTTTGGTACCGGGGATCGAACTAGGGTCCTTGCGCTTGCAAGGCAGGCCAATTCACTGTGTTTTTGATCACACCTCATGAACTCGGGAAAGAGGACTTCCAGAACTGCTCCAGAAAGTGCAAAGAACAATGGGCTAAAAGTGTTCAAAGCAAAGTAATTTCAGGGTGATTAAGCAAAGTAATCTGAGGGGAATTGATGACAATGTATTTTTTTGTAATAATTCTTTTATTTAAATACACATCACATTTTTTTGATCAGCCCTTGTACAACCATGACCCCAAGGGCAGCCCACAGCCCCTCCCTAGGAGAAAGGGATGCTTCCTGAGGCCCTCCGGCATCCAACATCTTCTTTGTCTGAAGTCCCAGTTCTCCAGCCAAGTGGAGACCCCCAGGAGAAAAGAAGAGAGACACAAAGCAGTCTCTTTTACAGCCAGGGTTACATCGAACAAGGATCTGCAGACTCGCTGACTCTGTCCCTGATCTTCCTGGCAAAGGAGGCTGAGGCTTCAGGCTGAGCGCTGCCAGGAGGGGTGGTGATACAGCATGGGGGGAGTAGGAGAGGGTGGCAGGGAGATGGTGAGGATGAGGCAGGAGGGTGAGGGCAACGAGGAGAGGGACTCGCTTCCCTTCATCCCTAGGGACTTGGGGAATTTCATGCTCCCCCTGTCCATGTGGCTCTTGGGCCTTTGAGCGATGGGAGGCCCAGTGGAGCCTCAAAGTAGGACTCACAGCTGTGGGTGCGGGCTGAGGGAGCCTAAGATACTGGAAGGTCCGAACTGATCTAGGGTAGGGCTGTGGAGAGGAGACGGGGTTCTGAGCTGAGAGTACAAGGATGGGAGTGGGGAAGTACAGAAAGCCAGGGAGCCACAGGGCTGGGGAGGGGACTGATTTAAGGAAGTGGCTCAGAAGAGGGCAAGATTTAAGGAGAGTAAGAGTCCCAGCAAGAGTTATATAAGGGAGGAGGGTTGGCACAGAATGCAGGCTGGCCACAGGCTCAGAATGAGGGACAAGTGACACTAGAGTGGTAACAGGGCACAAACAGGAAGATAGGAACCGCGGCCTAAGACTGAGCCCCAGAAATGAGGATGTGAGAGCCTGAGTTGGACAATGTAAACGTGTAGGCTGAGACAGGAGGGCGGACAGGGACAGAGAACTGGCCAAACACAGCGGTTTTCACAGTAACTGCATGAGGTAGGACAAGCGTGTCATAGCCGTTTGCAAGGTGAAGAAATGGAGGTAGGAGAAGGCGCTGACTCCCTCAAGGTCCCACCAGGGAAGAGCCTGGATGTGAAATGGGTCTCTGGGTGGGTTTTAGCCAAGATGGGAGAAAGATGGGGGTCAGGGGACAGTCTCCATTTGCCCAAGAACACTGAGAGCGTGGGCTGCAGAAGTCATGCGAGTATCCTTTGCAGGGACCTGGTAGATGGCTCCCTCCTGCTGTCCTGGTCAGGTAGAGGGCTCACAGCGAGGATGAGATCAACTCAGGTCTCTGGATGTGCACCTAGCCCAAGTGCGGGTGAGATGAATGAGGATAGAGCCCCGCTGGGCTAGGCAGAACTCCGGAAGAGGCCTCTGCTTCCCCCGACCTCACCAGCTCTTTGGGGTCCACAGCCTGCAAAGCCACTTGGAAGTTTGCATCCTTGACTAGAGAGAGAGAGAGAGAGAGAGAGAGAGAGGGAGAGGGAGTGAATAGAGAATAGGTAGAAGGGAGGGGAAAGGAGGGACAGGATGGGTCCCAAGGGGTAGCCCGGCAAGGAAGGGCAACACCTACTCCCCCAGAACATTTGTCATGGGCCAGGGTGGCTGAGACAGTGGTTCCATCCTGCCCGGGTCGAAGGGGTCGCAGGGAGGCCTCTCCCAGCTTCCCAAGAGACAGGACTCACCTGTCCTGTCGTCCTCGAAGCCCATGTTGGAGAAAGTCCCCACGGTGTCATCATCCCAGGACTCAAACCACTCCCTGTCCTTGGCCCTGGACCTAGGCAAAGGCACTGCATGGTCAGGCAGGGCTGCTCAGCCTGGGACCCCTGCTGCCCCTCACCCCCGCCTCCACCTCTCCAGCGTCTCA